TGCTCTTCCGATCTTACTACGCCTGCTACTACTACTACTACTACTACTACTACTACCACTACTACTACTACTACTACTACTACCACTACTACTACTACTACTACTACTACTACTACTTTACGACGACGGCGATCCGTCACCACGATAACAACTTCAACGGCCACTACTTGTTGCTGCTCCCCTGCTGGTCGCAGTTCCCGAGTTACCATTTACAATCCCGAAACCCCACCTAGGCAAAACACATGTAATCCTTTGCAAAAACAACTGCCGGGTGTGGATTCTTCTCAGATTATTTCTGGAATCTCGGATTTGTCAACTTGATTGTGCATGGTGTGCAGGGTTCTTCAACAACAGCCGTCAGGGTGGACCGTTCACGCCGGCGGTCCGGCGGCATAGCCAAAGACGAGGAACTCAGGATGATCCGGAAGAGGCCAGTGCAACACTGTTGATTCCTAGAGGAACAGCCCGTAGATTGTAGATTTGATGGTTTTGGAAGGCCAGCCAGCCCAAACCTCATGGACCTTTAGAAGGCACGGTTTAATGTGTTGGGTATGGGCTGGTGGCTTTGGTTGGTGGTTGTGGATCTTGCTCTCTTTTTTCTGCTGTGCTGGATTTTTGCTATGAGTTTCTCCCACTGCTGATTCGGGTGCAAATTTGAGACTGCACAGTTTGGATCCCAAGCCACAACATCCCATGCGCGCGACACCCTTTCCCAATGCCGTACAGTCTCCCGAGAGCCGAGGCCATGTAAATCACCGCCTCTTCAGCTCGACACCTCACAAGTGGCGCAAATCAGTGCGTTATTTATGGCAGTTTCAAGGTGTCGAGGCTTCACCCTAGCTCGTCATCCCCTACTTCTACTTCTTTCCTGAAGGCTTAGCTTTTCTGCGAAAGCACACGAGGCTCGCGGAGTACGATGAACGGGCTTCGAGTGTCTTGGGCGGGCGGCTGGATCTTTCATGCGACAAGGCAGGGGGTATAGCCCGACCAGATGCTGTGTGGGTGTTTCCCCGGTTTAGAAGTGAACTTGGCCGGTAATTATTGTCTGGAGCGTCCAGAGTTCAAGCTTCTCGGCGTTCGTGCCGACTGTGAAGGGAGGTGGGCAGAAGAGTTTCTGTTTTGGGATCGTTGCAGGGTTGAATTTGGGATCCTCTATGAGCTGCGGACTGCTTTTTGGAGAAAGTATCTGTTCGAAGATCGGGTTCATTGTGTGGTAGCCACATACTACAAAGCGTTTGAAGTCTTGCAGATGTGAATCGCATCCCTTCGTAGGCCTTACATGGGAGAAAGACATTTTTCTGCTGTTTAAAGCCAAGCGGAATCGTATGGTCGTCTGAAGACATTACCAATATTCAGGATATTTGCCTTGTATTAACAAAACTCTCAAGTGCAGGCGGCTTGTAATCTATATAACCCAGACCGTCAACTCGAACTTTTTTGTGTGAGCTGAGGGTGACGAGATTGTTACGAAGCCCTTGTCTCAATCTTGAGTCAGTATAGTTGTGCTAGCAGCCGGAGGTAGGAGTCGGAAGATCAGAGCGAGTCGGTCTGGCAGGCGGAGAAGGTAGCAGTATAGGCAGTACTAGTAGTACTCGTGACGCTAGTGGGGCTAGTATTTCAAGTAGTGCTAGTAGTAGTAGTAGTAGTAGTAGTAGTAGTAGCAGTAGTAGCAGTAGTAGCAGTAGTAGTAGTAGTAGTAGTAGTAGTAGTAGCAGAGCCAGCAGTACTACTAGCAGGTAGCAGCAGCAGCAGCAGCAG